TGCTATGACGGAAACAAGAGCTAGCACTCCTGCAATTAATAATCCCAGAAATCTACGGGGCCTTTCCATAAGATCAGAAACTTGCTTAAACAACTGTAAACCAGAATTAGTGAACCAGGCTTCTGAAAGATTAACAGGAAGCATAACAAAGGAGGGTTGATACAGTATCATAAGATTTTCTTTTTTAGACAGGTTGGCAAGTCTCTAAGAGCAGAGAGCAGGCCTCATGACTGAGTTTCTTTATCTGTCCCCATGTTGGGAGCTGAGCTGTCCGTGTTCTCGGGAGACCACCTGCCGTGTCCTGCAGGGTGAGATGTCTCATCCGTGCTGTCAGTGACGGGGTTTGCATGGTGTACCAGCCTCTCCGGGAGCCACGGCGGACTTTCGGCATCCTGTGGAAAAAACACAAACATGCCCTCGTCCTCAAATGAGTACAGGGTCAGGGTCGTGCCATTCATTAGTCATAGGGTCCCTCCAGCGCACACAAGGCCGGGCAGGAGTTTGACCTGAACTCCAAAAGTGCTGGGCAGCAGAACGGCCATGATGATCTAAAATCAAAAGATTCAAAACAAGTAATGCATGGGCTAGGTGATTGGCGGGAGTCAGGGGGTATAGACTCCCCCTTTTCAATTTTAATAATTGTTGTTTAAGTGTATTGTGCGCCCTTTTAACAATCTCTTGACCTTGGGGACTGTAAGGAATTTCTGTCTTGTGATGAATCTGAAATGAAGAGCAAAACGTTTGAAATTTAGTACCCACATAGCCAGGCCCATTGTCAGTTTTAAGTACATGAGGGATCCCCATACAAGAGAAGCTGTGCAGGCAATGAGTGATAACATGAGAGCAGGATTCACCTGTTAAGGGAGAAGCAAAAAGGAAACCAAGTATGTATCAATAGTGACATGTACAAAGAGGGAACATGAGTAACATCCATTTGCCACAAATGGTTGGGTAGCAGACCCCGAGGGTTAACTCCATAATGTGGAACTGATAATAGAGAAGGACAGGTTGAACAAGATAACACAATGTCTCTAGCGGCAGCACGAGAAATTCGAAACTGTAAGCGCAGAGTATGGCTATTCTGATGATGCAAGGCATGAGATTGCTGGACCAGCTGTGTTTGAGATAAATAGACATGTGTTAAAGAGTCAGCCTGACGACTGCCTGCCGTCAACGGGCCAGGCAAGTCAGAGTGAGCACGAAGATGTCCAAAATAACATCTACGAGATCTGGAATGTAAAAGGCATTGGATGTCAGAAAACAAGGAAAAAAACAACATGATTAGATGTACCTATGTCAGGAACAGTCTCTATACATTGTAAGGCATTGATAACATATTTGCTGTCAGAGTATAAATTAAAAGATTCATCAGGCAGATCAACGAGAACTCGATGTACAGCACAAAGCTCCACTTCTTGGGCAGAGCGAAAGGAAGTCTGCCACGTACAGGGGCGCCCATTAATCACATAAACAGCGATCCCATTAAGTAGTTTGATATTGTTCTACAAACTCAGATTTTCATAATAAATAATCACCACTTCCTAAACAGGCCCATGCCAAATTCTTTCAATCCCCAAGAGGGAGAGCTTCAAGAGAGAGAGATTTTAATAAAGCCTCAGTGTAAGGAGCAGTAGGGCCATATTGAGCACAAGCAGTTTTTAATTCCTTTAATTGTTTAAAAGGAATAGGTTGATGATACCTTTGAGGCTGTCCATCAGGCCCTTGTCATTCAAACACAGGGTAGACAACAAATTCTTCTAAAGATTTCTTGTTCCCGAGGGCTTTTTGTAAAGCGCATTGCAAGGGGGACGTTTTGCAACTTGGCGGGGAAGGCAGACTCACATTATCCGTGAAGGACAAAGGCTTCCTTTTTTTTTCCTTTTCTACCATGGCAACCATCATAGTTTGTTCTGGGGTTAATACATCAACTAAAGGAGGTCCTTCAAGACCGATGGGGCTGGCGAAGACTTAGCTTTATTTAAAGCCAGAGATTGAACTTGCTGGGAGAGCTGTGTGCAGATCTGTGTTAACTGCGCAAGGTCTCTCTTAACTGGATCCTCATAAGAGGGTGGAGGTTTA